GAGAGATGAGAACTGAGACGGAGATGAGAGCGGAGAGAGAAGATGAGGAGAGAGAGAGAAGAGGAGAGAGAGGAGAGAGAGGAGGAGGAGAAGCCCGTGTAGGAAGGGAATCGCTTCCATAGCCCGCACAACTACCACCCGTCGTATTCACTTTATTCAATTTCATTCCAGCCACGATTCCATCAGACATATCAACAGCAAGGCCCCTTAGTCCCCATCCTTCACAGAACCTTCCTCTTCACCAGCCTTTCTCCACCACAACCACCCAATAACATTTTCCTCCGCACAACTACCATTACAACCAACTGCCAAAACAAGCTCATGCAACTGCCTAAACATGCAACTACCTTTACAACCATCTATCCCCCTTTCAGCCCCATCTCCTTACAATCACCTGCCCTACAACACCTCCCGTGTCTTCCTTACCCTACGGTCAATTTCACCCTCACAACTATCTGTCTCTCTACTTCCAAACCACCCCTCCCCCTTCTTCCACAAACCATCTTGTCCCCAACAAAGCCTTCCCTATAACCCTCTCTCCAACGCTCTTCCTCTCTATCCTTTTTTCAAACTTCTTTCCTTCACACCCACTTTCCCTCTCTCTCTCACCTACCCCTTTATCACCTCCTCACAAACCTTCCTCACAACCACTTTCCCTCTCTCATCAAAACCACTATACCCCTCCCATCCCTTCTGAAACTCCCCCCCCCCCCACAGCCACTTTCCCCTCCTCATAAACTCCCCAAACCACTTCCCCTATCTCAACAATCCACTTCTCCACACCCACTTATATCCTCCCTCATCAATTTCTTCCCTCTCCCTCAACAACCTTCTTACAACCCCCTACCCCTCTCCCTCAAAACCAAATCCTTCCCCACAATCACCTTCCCTCTCCCTCAACACCCACTTTCCCACAAACCCTCTACCCCCCTCCCTACCCAACTCCCTCCCCCACAACCACCTCTCCTCCCCTCCTTAACCTCTCATCCCTTTCCTCACCCTTGCTTCTCTGCTGGGATCTTCTCGGCCAGCCAGGTGTGTTCCCGCAGGTAAGCCATGACGTCATCGTTGAAATTAGCGCCCATGAAGCTGAAGATTCGTCGCGTCTCCTCCAGGGGGCTCTCCACCAGGTCCTCGTAGCGCACTCGGAGGTACCTGTCCGAAGGAAGGAGGGAAAGGGGGGGTCATAGGAGGGCCCAAGTGTGGTGTGGAGGAGGAAGAATTAAGAGGAGAAGTGAGGGATTATAGGAACAGAGGAGAAGGGGAGGATTAACGGAAGAGGGGGAGGAGGAGGGGAGAGGAATTAAACGGGAGGAGGAGGGAAGGAGGGGTATTAGCAGGAAGATGGTGGTGGTTGGAGGGAGGAGATTAGAGAAGGAGGATTAATCAGGAAGAGGAAGGGGAGAGGAGGAGGAGGAGGAGGGGAAGAGAGGCGGGGTTAATAGGAGGATGTTGGTGGTAATCGGAGGATTGAAGATTAAGAGGAGTGAAGGCAGATTATAAGAGAGTGAGGAGTAAGGGGAAGGATTTAAACAGGAAGAGGGGGAGGGAGGAGGGAGAGGATTAACAGCAAGAGGAGGGGAAGGAGGGGCATAATAGGAGGTGGTGGTGAGAGGAAGATTAACAGAAAGAAGATCAACCAGGAAAGAGAAAGGGAGGAGGGGAGGAGGTGGAGGAAGGGGGATTAACAGGAGGTGGTTGTGGTGTGAGGAGAAGAAGATTAACAGGAGAGAGGATTATAAGGAAGTGGAGGTTAACAGGGAAGAGAGGAGAGGGAACAGAGAGGGTAAGGAGGAAAGGGAAGAGGAAGGGGGTTATCAAGAGGTGGGCGTGGTGGAGGAAGAGTTAATAGGAGGACGGTGGGGGTGGATGGAGAGGAAGCGGAGGTGAACAGGAGTGTGGTGGAGGAGGATTAAAAGGAACAGGAGGGGGGAGGAGGAGCGGGAGGAGGGAAGACGGGAGGAAGAAGATTAACAGAAGGAGGATTAACAGGATAGGAGAGGAGGAGGAGGGATGAGGAGATTAACAAGAGGTGGGGGGGTGGTGGAGGAGGAGATTAAGAGAAGAACGAGGATTAATAGGAAAGAGGAGGTAAAAAGAGAGGAGGGGCGAGGGAAGATTAAAAGAGGAGGTGCGTGGTGGGTGGACGTTGAGTTTTTTGAAGGTTGTAATTCAAGGAGGTAGTAGGGGGGAGAGAGGAGTGGGAGAGGAGGAAGACGAATCAAAAAATTAAATCAAAAGACTGTGAAGGAGAAAGAGGAAAAGGAGGAGGAAAGGGGTGGGAAGGAAGTAAGTGTCGGAAGCGGTGCTTTAAAAGAAGAGGGATTATGGAGATTAGGATAAGAAGCAGAAAAGGAGGGGGGGAGGAAAGGAAGGGGAAGGAAGGAGGGAAGTATAGTTATAGCTTGTAGTGGTTTACTAACAGGAATAGTAGCAGTTGTAGTCGTATTGGTACTATTGTTAGTATTAGTAGTAGCAGTATTAGCATTAGTAGCACAGGTAGTATTAGCAGCAGTTGCATAGTTAGCAGGCAGTATTAACAGTAGTTGCCATAAATGAATTGCATTAGTAGCAGTATTACAGCAGTTGCATAAGTAGTTTAGCATTTGTAGAAAAGGTTGTATAAGCAGTAGTTACAAACGTAGTATTAGCAGTAGTTGCATAAATAGAATTAGCATTAGTAGCAAAGGTAGTATTAGCAGTAATAGCACAAGTAGTATTAGCATTAGAAACAAAGGAAGTATTAGCATTAGTAGCAAAGGTAGTCTTAGCAGTGGTAGCACAAGTAGCATAAGCATTAGTAGCATAGGTAGTATTAACAGCAGTAGTAGAAACACTCCAAATCATCGAATCTTAATGAAGATAAATAAACGAAGGCGGATACAGATATAATCCAAAACACCATCAGTTTTTACAGATTCAGGAGGAGGAGGAATAAGAAAAAGGTGAACAGAAGGAAGGGTGGTATTAGTAGCTGAAGGAGAAGGGGATTAGGAGGATTAAGATTAAGAGGTAGCGGAGGGGGAGGAGGAAGAAGGAGAGGGAGATAAGGAAGATGAGAAGCAAGAGCAGGGGAGGGAGAGGGAGTAGGAGGAATAGAATTAAGAAAAGGGAAGAAGAAGAAGAAAAGAGGAGAGACAAGAGAAGTAGGAAGAAAAAGGAGAGGAGGAAAAGCAAGAAAATATTAAAGAAGAGGAAGAAAAGGTGAGAATCAAGAAGAGAACAAAGAAGATAAGGAAGAAGAAAGAAGAAGAAGAGGAAGAGCAAGAAAAAAGAACGTGTCGGCGATAGAAATCAAGTAGGAGAAGGAACAAGAGTAGCAGGAGTAGGAAATGGTGGCAGCGGTGGGAAAGCGGAAAAAAAGAAGAGAAAAGAGAAAAGGAGTTTCCAAAAGGAGAGGCGACCGGAGTAAAAGTTCGGAGAAGGGATGAATGGAACACAGTAATTAAAGCGCAATGAATGGACGACAAGAGATGACCCAAAGAATCCGAGTGTAGGGG